TGTAAATAACAGTCATGAAACGGACAGAAATAGAACTAATTTTAGACTACTAGTCCTAAAAAAATATGAAGACCTTTCTATCGGGTGTGTGGGTGTTTTTCAATCGCGAAAACGGATATCTCCATTTATGAAGTTACGATGGCAATTTATTACATTTTGTTTGGGAACTCATATCCTGAAATAATGAAATATACAAAGTTAAAAAAATGTATCTCGTGCTCTGCGGTGTCCGTATATACTGTAATTGTGTATGTAGAAAGCCAGAACTGTGGGTAAGGTAAGCACCGAATATTGCTCCAACGAAAACGTTGATCGGATTGAAGCACAACGTAACTTTGCAGTAAAAAAAATGTTTTCCAGTACATCGGTCTACGTCACAGTCAACGTTCTAGCTGCAAATGTAGCTTTGTAATTGCGCAAATAGATTTTTCGCTTGATATAACTACCGATTCGAATTATTTGCTTTACCTTGCTTCATATCAAATTTTATGATCCTAGGTCAGCCGGAAGAGCCATTTTGGTTTTGACGAGTGAGTTTGTAAGTAACAAACTAATGGTACTGGATCTTTTGATCGCGTTGACTGAAAAGATTATTTTTTCATCTCTAAGATACCGTCGACCTTATTTGTATTTGATATTTATTTTAACTTAATACCTTTACCCGATTTTGGGAAAAAGAGTCTTGACGGACGAACAGACGGACAGACGGTCAACAAAGTGATACTATGAAGTTTCCGTTTTTTTCTTTCGAGGCACGGAATCCTAAAAATATGATACAACAACGGAAGTGTTTTAAAATAAAGCACAAACAGATCTTGGGCGGAAGTGTTTAAAATATCATATGAAAAAAGAAAAGAAAAGTTATATACACTTTTGATAGCCATTTTCCCGCGGAAAATTTAGAAATATAACATAAAAAGGTATTATATATCTTGGCATAATAGATTGAAACAAATAGAATTGTGTATGAATGAAAACTAACTAATAGCAGTGCGTGTTCAGACAAAGGGTAAAGAAAGCCAGTACCATCACAGACATGAGGCATTTCATATTTTTTTGCATTTGTAGATGGCTGCAGATTTTCACGGGCTGCAGTAGCAACTTACTATCAGGTGCAATTAGAACGTGGTAGAGCCATGCTGCAGCTATATTAATAGTATAGTTGTTGCACGAATGGGTTGGCTCGCCAGGGAAGGACCACGCTCTCACAGAATAACAGCGTAAAATAGCAGCTTAATACTGCTGTGTTTCGTATGGTGAATGTAGAGAAACGGGGACCCTTTTTTACTGGAAAAGAGGCATTCCATCTCAGTCCTCACGGGTGAACACGCATCTGCATTTTGAATCGCAAACGAGGATAAATGTAGATGTCTATGGGCCACAGCAGCCACTTACCATCAGGTGGGTGGTGTGCTCGTTTGTCACCCTATCCTATAAAAAAAAGGTGCACTGTAAGTTCGTTTGAGACTTCAACTTGATACGTATATAAAAATTTTAACAGAGCCACGCGCAGCTTTTGCTGTCGCACGGATGGGCCGGCTCGAACCGGGGTGGTACCACGACCTCACAGAAAACCAGCGTGAAGTAGAGGTTTACTTCTGCGTTTCGCTTGGTGACTGCAGGTGGCCGGGGGCTCTTTTTACTGGAAATGAGGCAATCCATCTTAGTCCTCACGGGTGACAACGCATCTACATTTTGATTTGTAATAGAGGATAGATGTAGATGTCTATGGGCCGCAGCAACCACTTACCATCAGGTGGAATGTGTGCTCGTTTGTCACCCTTATCATATAAAAAAAATGTATACGTCTTTCTACTGGCCACACCTTCGCTCGTTTCTAAGCGGGTTAAGGAGTCGGGGATCCACATTGCTCCAGTTCATGTTGGTCATCTTTAACATGTCTTCGTAATATTTGGATTTTCTTTACCGCCGAACCTTGTAAATTAGCATTTAAAATGACAATTGACAATTTTATTGGTATTGATCGAACCCGGGTTGCTCGTTTATCTCAGTTTTAATTTAAGGAATTGAGAATTTTATACAGGTACTAGCGATGCAAACCGGCTTCGCTAAGGATATTTCTGGATCTCGATAACAGCGCCACCTACCGGGTCCAATAGTGAATCTAAAACATTCTCCAATCAACTTAATTACTACACACACAAAATTTCATCAAAATCGGTCCAGCCGTTTTTGGTGAAATTTTTGTTTTTTCCAAATCGTTTAGGAGGAGTTCAGGAGCTTTAAAGATAATACTGTAGTAATTACATTAGTAAAGAAACTGTTATTTGCTTTGTCAACGCATCTTATTCGTATTAAAGTATATTATAAAAACACGAAAACAATGATCGAGCTTTAAAAAAAGAATACGGTAATAATTACATTAGTATAGAAATCGACATTGCGCAAATATTTTTAGCCTATTGGCGTTGTTTCGGTACAAAGAAAAAAGTCAAATCAATAACTCTTTATGGATAATCAACTTAAACATAAACTGAAAAATATGACTCTACCTGGCATCTATTGGCAAGTAATATAATTTCCAAAAACACGATTTCCAAACGCACCGTCATCCAGGTACTAACATTATACAATATAAAAAAGGTTATACAATTATTTACAAAACTTACATAATGCACAACTTAGAAGCGATCAACTCATTACCAGGGGCTATTATCATCCATGTATTCTTTTATTTTAATGGAATACGAGTGACAAACGAGTATACAGTCCACCTGATGGTAAATGGTTGCTATGGCCCATATACATCGACTAGACGTACGTCCTCGTTTGCGAATCAAAATGAGATGCGTTGTCAACCGTGAGGACTAAGATGGAAAGCCTCTTTTCCAATAAAAAGGGTCTCCGGTCTCTAGACTCATCATACAAAACACAGCAGCATTAACTTGCTATTTCACGCTGGTATTCTGTGAGAGCCTAGTTCTTCCCCGGTCGAGCTGACCCATTCGCTACAACTATACTAATAATATAGCTGCAGCATGCCTCTACCACGTAAATAAATTTTATAATAATATATAATATTGTATTATAATAATATATAATATTTTTATCTTTGCTTAATAAAAATTAAAAAGTTGTAATTAACCTTGTATATTTTCTGGGACTTTGTTGTAATAGTGTAAAGATTGTCCCTTTAAAGGAGTTACTGTCTCGGTGACGTCGTATAACTGGAATTACTAGCTTGTGTTTGTTCCTAGAGTTAACAGAGAAAAAATAAATAAAGTAAATTAGTTTTTTTATTTAAACTACTCTTGTTTTTATGAAGATACATAAAATTTTCGTAATTATACTGACAGGCCAAAAATAATATTAATTTTTTCTGTAAGAGTTAAAAAGTTGTATCAATTTTTTTACGAATCGTCTTTTAAAACACGCGCTCACCAGGTCAATTGATTTTTGGTGGCTTTCCTAAGAATAATAACTCTTAAAGTTATCATAACTCGGTTACATTATGTAAATGATAAGTCTCATCAAAGTTTATCCATAAGTTTTTAATTAATACTTACACATTCATAAAGATAGACAAAGTTTTAATATTTAAAAAGGCCTTATTTTAATCTCAACAAGTACTGAATCAATTCTGAAATAATTAAGCTAAGAAAGAAATAAGTCCTTGATACATATATTCCATGAAAATATATAATCTTCGATAATTTAATATATATTGCGGTCAAAAATTCTAATAATAAAATATTAATATAACATAATAGTATCTCCCAACGCATAGATCTTAAGACGAACATGTACAAGACAAATATTGTGTGCAACAACCATGCCGTGGTACATATATACCAGCTGTTGTTAAAAAACATTAGGGTAGAAGATTTTGACGATTTTTATGTTTAGCTACGAATCAACAGGCTGAAATGGCATTAGGACGGCAATATACCTCAAAGAACCGATAACCGATTAGGAAAGGGGAAGCAGGAAGAAAGATACTCGTGTGAGAGCCTCGTACTAGTAAATGGAGTGTAGAGTGACCCGCACTAAATGGCGTGATGACAGAGTAAGACATTCAGGAACTCGATGGACGCTGTAGCTCAGGACCGTGTTTTATGGCGTTCCTTGGAGAAAATGCCATATTCTGGTTTTAATATGTTTTACATAATGAATTTTTATATTTACGCGAACACTACACATTGAATAAAACTATTTTTACGGATTTTACCAAGCATACCACTGCTAGACTTCAAGATATTGTAAGTTCATTCTGCGTAAATCGAACCAAAAATTAGTATTAAAAACTGAAGGTAGCCGGGCTAACTGTGACATCAGGACGTCAAACATCTCAGTCCCCCCCCGTGACCATGGGTTGCTGTAAAGCATCCAAAACGTCGGAAATTAAAAATAGTAAAATTAAACGGGATAAAATCCGTAAAAATAGTTTTATTCAATTAATATGTTTTCGTTCAAAGTTTTGACTAAATAAATCAGTTCTCGATTTTTCCATTTTGGAAGTCCCTCAAAGATTTGAAATTAAAAAGTCACCATTATTGTTTTTAGGAATTCGATTGTTTTTTTTTATAGGATAGGATGACAAACGAGCACACAGTCCGCCAGATGGTAAATGGTTGCTGTGACCCATAGACATCTACATCTATCCTCAATAAAGTATCAAAATGCAGATGTGTTGTCACCTATGAGGACCAAGATGGGATTCCAGTAAAATGGGTCTTCGATTCTCTACATGAATGAATTCAGTATGGCGAGATACGAAACACAGTAGTATTAAGCTGCTATTTTTCGCTGGTGTTCTGTGAGAGCGTGGTCCTTCCCCGGTCGAGCCAACCCATTCGTGCTATAGCTATACTAGTGATATAGCTGCAGCACGGCTCTGCCACGTTATATCAATAACACTAACTGAAAGCAATAAAAAATTTAATTTGTTTCAGATAGCGCGTAAAGTGCAACACGTGAGCCAGCTACGTTGTTCACATAAGATGTATCCGGAAAGGGTGACTTAACACCATCCATATGGGATGAATGTCGTGACTATAATGAATATCACATACTTGGATCTAATATTGGAAGATTTGAAATGTCGCTTGACATCGGGTAATGGATGCGGTAATGATATCAGTCCGGGCTTGGACTGCAGCTATTCAGAATACTCTGTAGACTATTTCTGCGAATTGAACATAGATGTACAAAATGAAACTTCTTACAGCTGTACAAGGTGTTCTAATAACAGTTTGGATTATAACATCAACTATACTGTATGCAACACTAGATTCAAACTCAACATGTTGTCTGTAATTTTTGAGAGCGCATTGAGATCTTTATGGCTAAAACTACCAGATTATGAAGGGTGCGACCGGGATACTTTATTTTGCTTGAAAGATGATTTCAATCGGACGTTATACAAAGACTTTAATGATAGTGATTTAAAAAGTAGTGAAGTAGAGATCTATCAATGTAAATGGAATTTTAAAAATGTAACTGACAACTTATCCGTGACAGTAGGATACGAATGGAGTTTTTTATTTGTCATATTGTTCATAATTGCGGGCGGTGTTGGGAATATTCTGGTGTGTTTAGCCGTATGTCTTGATAAAAGACTTCAAAATGTGACGAACTATTTTCTCCTTTCGTTAGCGATAGCCGATTTGCTTGTTAGTTTGTTCGTGATGCCCATGGGCGCCATACCTGGATTTTTAGGTAAGTAATATTATATCCTACGTCTGTAAGCTTAAGTAAGAGAACACACATTCTGTTTCTTTTTGAATCGCAAATGGCATCTATAGGAATAAAATATCATGGCTTTCTATTGATAGCGGTAAAACCATATCTTTTACTCCTGACGTAAAATATCCAGCGACGGGGAGTAGCGCCAACGGTGTCACGTTTGATGATGCAAAGACCAATTCGATTGTCAAGCGTTGCTATATTAAGGCAGATGTAACGGAAGATGCTCATAACTGACTATTGTTACTCACTCTTACCAAATTTAACAGGAGACGCCCATGTACATCTTCTATCCATTATTTACAGTAGCTTCTTATTAATATATGAAGCATCGGCAATCGAAAAAGTGGCATATCATTTCATGTAAGCTTAACCCAAATCTCGAAATATTTCTATCCATACCTTTAGTCTATTTTCAGTACATAGATTTATATTGACACAATGAGTTAAGATGTCTATATCTATAGCGTACGGTAGTCAGTTCTGGACATGAGTTGTGTGCTCTTTTTTGTTACTGATAAGTAACTAATAATGCCCTTCGAGTTGAATTTCGATCGCAACGACCCGACCGGAGAGAGAATTGGCGCAGTATCAACCGCTTTACGTGTCTTACAAGACACTGGCACTCTCGTTTCACTAAACATCTCCAACTTCCCGACTCCGGGCTGCTACTAGGAATTCCTAACTGAAAAACCCAATAACTTAACTGAACCTTAACCAACAATCGAACTAGGGACCACATGATCAGGGTCCATTCTTACGAACACCATACAAATGAAACAGTCAAGCTTTTATTGATATAAATAATATTAAGATATTTTGCGTGTATGAGACCTTCAAGCCCTCTTCCATGATATATAACCAGCAGGCCATTCGCCAACTTGACATCGAAATGATGTCGTCGTATATTTTATGATCAAAGAAAAGCTGTATAACTTATGGCGCAAAGAACTACGAAAAAAATGCTACGATTATGAAAAGCCCTTTCTACAACGATGCAGTTTTATGTCCAGCAGTAAAATATTCACGGGGTGGTAATGAGGAAGAAGTAAAGGCCTTAAACCTGATTGCATTGTATGACACCTTTAAATGTTGGAGAAATCTAGTACTGGGATCTCTTATCTACCTAGAAATATTTACAACTACAGCAAATCAACTACCGAAGAAGGGTCTAAGCTTATTATAATCGGGAATTCATTTTCTTTATTTAAAAAATCGGTATTCAACATTTTTTTTGTTATAATTTCGTAACAATCAACCAAAATTCCAGTTCTATATTTGCCTACAAAAAGTTTATGGATGATCGTACATGTATTCACTTATTTGAATTCAGAGTATCCATGAAGCAATATGTAGTTTCTCAAAGGGTCCGCTTTCGCAAACTGTATTGAGAATAGAATATTCTTCGATGTTTATTTACCCTTTATTATGCAAAACACAAGTCATGAATATGCTAAGCGGTAAAACTTTAAACCTCTAAGCCACTAAAACAATAAATACGTCAGTTTTCAGACGCATAAACAATTAAGAGCCGATTTTTCAATCATCACATCATATCAAAGTATAAACAATAAAAACAAATACAAAAAACATTCAAAGGGTAAACAATTAAAACAAAATTAAGTTTACAGTTGTATGAATAAAATAGTTCAATAATTGTTTTATTTTATTAGATGAACCTTAAGAAAATTATATAATATTTTTTAATAAATATGAACCAATTTACTATAATAAATCATACTTACGTTTCTACCAGTTTGATTCCGGAGGAATTATTAAATGTAAGTTCAAATGAAACGAACGAAACATGAATGTCTTAAAAATAAAAATCGAAAATATCTGAAGGCTGACGGCATGCAGGACATTTTTGGTAAACTAAAACCTTTTCAGAAATAAAAAAAGGTGTGTTGCTAGCAGTGGGACGATATTATAGGCTGTAAATTGTACACATGAAATTCAATTTGTGGCCGATAAGTATTAAGTTGTTCGCTAAAAAAAAAAAGCTTTAATAAACTTGACTTGTTTTTACAAATCTTAATTTGTTTATAGGATATTGGCCTTTAGGTGTGGTGTGGTGTAACGTATATGTTACTTGCGACGTTCTAGCTTGTTCAGCTAGCATCATGCACATGTGCTTCATAAGTATTGGAAGGTATGTAATGCTAAAGTAGATTTTGATTTAATACTTTTAGATCTATAAAATTTACTAGCTGGCCAGTCAAAAGTTGTTCTGCCCTTTCCAACGACCATATGTCCTATAAAAATCCGTAAATTGGATTCAAATATTGGGAGTATTACACTTTTCGAGATAAATACTATTGTCTCTCAAATTGGAGTAATCAATATACTCGTACATTTACAAAATTTCATTAAAAATGATTAAGTCGTGACGCGGGATTTTTATGTACTAATATGAATACACATGTATATTTCATATTTTAAATTTATATATTTTTTATATAATGTAAGTCATCTTTATATGATATAATTTTTATACGACAAATCTTTTTGCAACTACCAACTTCCAATTGTGGAACAGATAATAAAGTGATTTTTCTTACACTAAGATTTCGTTGCACAAAAAACTTGCATTTTATTTATGTGTAACAAAACTTTTTGGTTGCTATTGTTAAATGCATAGGGGTTCATTTTATTATTTTTACAATATTTGATTTTTAACGAAATATTCTTCTTACAGGTATCTTGGCATACGGAACCCACTTAAAAGTCGACACCATTCAACTAAGAGAGTAGTTGTGATTAAAATTGCTCTCGTCTGGCTTCTTAGTATGTTTGTATCCAGTTCAATTACGGTTTTAGGTAAATCATTCGCTTTAAGAGCGAACTAATATATATATTTTAATATCTTGTTAAAATAGCTATATTTAACTTCTATGTACATTTAAGTGATTCAACTTACAATAGAAATTCGGGAATCACATCCTTAAAGGCGAAGGCTCTTGTGTCTTACAAATTATAAATGATGTTCTATAAAATATTGTTTGAAATGCATCAAGTAACAAGCTTACTAGCTTACCCTTCCTCTGAAAAGACATTGGTCTTTTAATAAATCCGCGTGGTGGAAGAATCCATCAATTCGTGTCGTAAAAGTTGATTGTGAAAAATGCCATAATGACCTCATGACTATCGATAAGATGGCGATATATCCATCCCGGATGGGGAGCAACAAACAGGAATCAAAGGTGCGAGACACTAGTCCTTCTAGTACTGCGATAGTCTATCTGACCATCAATCTTCCTGATATCCTGATCCTTCACACTCGTATTTACGGGCTGATAAAGAAAGAAAACGAAGTAAAGATCTTAAATAGTATGATAGTGTATTCATTTTTAAAGTGTGAGAATTAGTAATGACACCAATCTTAGCGAGAGAGATTGACAGCTATAGCAATCTAGCACTGGGATGACTAATTTATCTAAAAGATTACAACTATAGGAAATCAACTTTAGAAGCGTCTGGTCTTGTCTTATCATGATCATCATCATAATTATTATCATTACACCCCTTCAGAACATAGCCCTTCCCCAAGGAACGTCAAAAAACATGATCCTGCGCCACCTGCATCCATCGACACAATCAAGGAAGCATGACTTACCAGGTCGTCGCCCCATCTAGAAGGGCCGCTCTAAACTTCGTTCATCGGTACGAGACTGCCATTTGAAAACCTTTCTGCCCCACCTGTTATCGGTTTTTTGAGCAATATGATCAGACCATTGCCACTTCAACTTAATGGTCCGTTGGGCTATATCAGTTACATTACGTTCCTTCCTACTGTGGATATCCTCATTACGAAGTCTATTACGCCGAGAAACTTCGAGAATATCCTTCGTAATATCTCGCTGACTGACCTTAAGTTTCCTCATATAGATGCAAATAGCGCAGTAAAATAAATTAAATTCTTTTAAACGCTGCTGAAAATGAGTCTCTTGTGAGTAGAATTTGTCATTATTGCCACGATTGTCAGCCGGATCAGTAATCGTAGCTTCAGATGTCTCCCATCTTTGATTTTCGACCTATCGCCGATAGTAAACGACTGATATGAATTTGATGGTTAACTTATTTATAAGAAATCATGAAAAAGGGGTTTTCTGCATACATTTTAAATTACCGCTACCCAGAACACTGTAATACAAGATTGTATACAGTGTTATAGGTAGTGGGTAGGTAGGAATATATTTGTATTTTTTTATAGAATGAATGTGACATACGGGCAATAGCGTAAAATAGCAGCTTAACGCTGCTGTGTTTCGTATAATGAGTGTAGAGAACCGGAGACCCTTTTCACTGGAAACAAGGCATTCTATCTTAGTCCTCACGGGTGACAACACATCTGCATTTTGATTCGTAATCGAGTATTTACGTAGATCGTAATCGAGGATATATGTAGATGTCTATGAGCCACAGCAACCACTTACCATCAGGTAGACTGTGTGCTCGTTTGTAACCCTTATCTTTATAAAAAACAGTCCACGTAATGGTAAGAGGATGCTTTCTATACACTCACCATACGAAACATAGCAGCATTAAGCTGCCAGTTTACGCTAGTACTCTGTAAGAGTGTGGTCCTTTCCCGGTCGAGCCGACCCATTCGTGCTACAACCATATTCAGCAGAGAGCAGGCCTCCTACCGCCGCGTCCGCAACCGCGATGAGTTACCAAGCCCCCACAGTCCCTGTAACAGTCGACAACGACCTTGAAGTAGAACAATGAAGACTATAGAGTAATTTAGTTAAATGAGTGTGATTTTGAATTTTGTTGTATTATATGCTATTGTTTATAATGTTTGTGCTTTTGTTGACCACTTTCTTAGACTAAATGATAAATGATAACATAACTGCATCGTGGCTCTACCACATATAAGTAATTTTATTCACTTACCTACACAAACCACATAACTAACTACATAAGGAGGAGGCCTGCGCGCGGTAGTGGGACTAATATTTATAATATTTTTTTACCCACAGGTATAATTAACCGATCGAACATAATGCCAACGCCAGATCTTTGTGTCATCAACAATCGGTTGTTTTGGGTATTCGGCTCCTTGGTGGCGTTTTACATTCCAATGCTGATGATGGTGGTTTCCTTTGCGCTCACTGTGCAGCTGCTGAAGAAACAAGCGTTATTGGCAGCGACGCCCGTTCCCGGAGGAATGCAGAGAAGGTTGTTGTTTAGATTAAAGAAATTGCATGGTAATTAGTTAGAAAGAGACACTGTGGAATGATTTTGATTTCTTGTGAGATATTCTTATACAAGTAACCCTGATATACTTCTACTCTATCAGATTAGAAATATTAAATAGAAACATAATTACAATGAAATGGATAATGTGCTAAATAGTTCTAAGTGGATTATGTGCTAGATTAACCTGATGGTAAATGTGTCTCTATTTATTCTTACTAGTTATAAAAATACGTTAACTTTACATGCAAATTTTCTCCCGTATCGTGGAGGCTATTACAAATAGTGCGAGACTCGAACCCGTGACCTAAAATTGCCGCGAATAAACGTTTAGCCTCTGAACCTAGCCATCAACGATTATGTGTTACATAGTTATATAGTCATACACCATTCATATTTCTTCGGCTAAGAATCAAAATCCTGAATGCGTTGTTAGTTCTATGAAATAAGATGAAACGCCTTGTTATTAGGAAGAAAGTGTTTTCGGTTCCTACCTCTAAAATATTTCCGGTGGGTTTCTTACTGGTTCTTCCTAAAGTAGATGTTTTTGCCAAACCAGTTGTAAAAATGCATGGCTTTTAATAAGTATCACTTATAATATATGCTTGATTAAATTCATTATACTGTCACTTATAATACAAAATACAGCAGCTATATGCTGCATTAAGCTAATATCCTGTAAGAGGAGAGAGAACTCTGTGTGGCGCACAAACTTCTTCTTTAGAGAACTGAATAAATGGTACAAATACTTGTCTCACAAATTCTGTGTTTGAGCCATTTGTCCTAAAGACCGGTAACTGACGCACAGGCATGTTTATCCGAAAAACAGAGGTGTTTTTTCATTTAGAGATTAATTACGAGACGAATGACTAGTGATGAAGTATGTGTACTATTTTGGTTTTCATATTATTCCAAATACGTACAAAATATTATTCTATTAACTGGTAAGAGATGTAAGAAAGCAAATGGACCCAGAAGGCTTAGGACTACCTACTACCGATCTACTTGGCGTAGACTTATGTTCAGCAGTGGAATTTTGATGGGTTGTAATGATGATGATGATAAAGTACAAAAATGTTGCATTGTGTGTTATGACGCCAATCAAATAAATTAATTTCGCTAATATCAGTGCATTGTTATCTGTTAATTATATATGAAATATTGTTTCAATTATTTGTAACTTGATTAAGCAAAACAGAATTTCGAAATCATCAATTAACTACAGCAATAATATAAAGGTTAATCTAAATAACCAATGAATTGTTACGTTTTCATTATGATAGTTGCATATCTGTACAATAAATTTGCTGAATCCGTTAATAGTTATACAATAATTTTAACCAGACACGTCTAATTTATTATTCAACAAATTTATATTTTTAATATAAATCTAGTGCGAGCTTTTCGCCCCCGGTCCTCAAGAACCACAGCTTTACTAAAAATTGAAACAGGCTTATTGCATTACTTTTATAAGCTTTTATGGAATATTAGTGTGTGATAAAAATGCTTGCTTGTGATTTTATTACATCGATTTAATAACACATTTTTATGTTAAATTGAAAAATACAAAAGTAATTACAAGTTTTATCATTACAGGCAATGCGGCGGTTTTGATAACGACCCAACGCAAGGACCACGTCGCATGGGATCCAAAAGCTCCCCAGATTTGTCACCGCGTAGCAATGTTTCAAGACAAATGACTTGGAGAGTAACTTCAACAAACAGGTATACATATTTGGCTATAGAGCAAGTTTTGGTAGTTTAGTTTACTTTGTTCTATCTTAATCCTCAGTGGTGAGAAAGCATCTATATTTTCAAACTAATACGAGGAGAGTTGGTGACTGTGTTCTCGTTTGTTACCCATTTTCTAAAAAAAAAAAACTTAAAATATTTGCTCCCATCTAAGCATGTTTCTTTATCAGTCAGTTACATATGCCTATTGGGACCTTACATGACATCAGGAAGTTACCTACTAAACAGCACCGCCTGTTAAGAAACTAACAGCACGACATGACTCAATTCACTTACGAGATTTAAGAATATTTAGCATAGTGCCATCAGGAAGTCAAGATCATCAAGAACTGCCTTACAGCAGCGTCTGCTAAGCAATTAACAGCACGTCTTTGAAGACACGACTCAATTCATTTACACGACTTAAGTATATTCAATACCTATACTATAAAAGCCAGGGTATAATTGTTAAAACGGCGCAGTAATTAAGTTAGTTTGTACTCGTAAGTTAGGTAGTCCAGTATTCCTCTGAACTCACAATGTTACAGTAGTTAAGTTAATTTGTAAGTTAGCTTGTAATACATTATTCCTGTGTACTCACATTGTCATAGTAAGTTTACTTGTTAGTTAGAAAATAAAAATAATATAGGAAACAGTCTTCGCCTCCTACCACTTCAACCCTCTCTAAGCTGCCACAAACGTAAGTAGCCTGTAACAATCCGCAAGATTTGTCATAATCTACCATATTTACAGCCAGCTTTGTCACAGTACAAATGATATCGGACCTTTTACACTGCTTCTCTTTGCCGATCTAGATAATTTAATTTGGTATCACACTAGATGATTACAGTGTCATCTATCGTAGGCCTTCTGGAATTTTCTATACTCACCTTTTACGACAACCAAGGGGTTGATATAGAGAACGTATTCTCTTACGCTGACACTTTATGGCAAGTTATTTACAATAAAGTAATAACAATACCCGTGTAGTGGCGGGTAAGAATATCCACTCCCTCATATCCTCCTGTGGGAGGAGACAGAGGGAAACTGAGGTAGATGGGCAGCAGCATCTTTACGTACGACTCCTTTTTTTAGAAAGCAACGAAACAAGATTGGTATGAGCGTTTCCAATCCTCAGTTAAGTTTTATGAATGGTTGTGGCAATGGCGCGGGGTCTGGTAGTAACAGAAGAGGACGAGATGTCGCAACGCAGACACCGCTTAATATAGCAGCAGAGACCAGGCGCGCAAAGTTGAGACCATTGAAATTAACCCTAGCTCCAGCTAATGCTTTAAATCTAAGGTAATCTCAATAGTTTTTATCATTACATATACTTAAAAAATATATCCAAAGGAATCATATTTAAATATCTCCATTGAGTGTGGTATGGATAGATAGATACACGTGGCTTACGATGTTTTGTAGTTATATTATGTATATATCTATATATATATATATATATATATATATATATATATATATATATATATATATATATATATATATAATATATATATATATATATATATATATATTTATGATGTTTTGTGCTTATAATAATAATATTATGTATAAGCATTCCCTGGAGGAGGTGTAGTTATCATTTGGTGGTCGATTTTTTTTTCTATCAAATAGCCTACAGGGTAGTTACCACTTACTTATCGCCAAATAGCATTATCTGCATTACCGTATTCCAGTATGAAGTTTACAGAGAGCCAGTATAAATATAGACGGTGAGGCTTCCATATTAGTCCGCAGCAGTAGCATGCACCTGTAGCCATCGTTTTGCAATTTAAGATTAAGATAAAGGTTAGGAATAAGGTTAAGACGAAGTTAAATTGCAGATTTATTTTAAATAATAATGTGTATATTCAGAAGTGGACTTATAAAAGGCTGTAACGATAATGTTCATGATGATGATAATGATCCAGTAAATGAGATTTTATCTAAAGAAATAACGTTAAATTGTTTTATACTAAGAATGATCTAGATATATGTCTAAGTGATTTACGTGGTTGCAGATTTCTAACCAATCGTAAAAAAGGGCGATCTCTATCAGCGAATGCAGTAGCCAATGAACAAAAAGCTACTAAAGTACTCGGGTTGGTGTTTTTCACATTCGTCCTATGTTGGGCTCCATTTTTCCTTCTTAACATTTTATTCGCATCGTGTCCCACATGTATTGTTCCAGGTATGTTACAAATTTAGATCATAGTATATTTCAACTTGTAAAACTATAGACTTTTTAAAATATTATCTATTAATATACTAATAATATCTAAAGGCATTCAGTTGAAAACTCTTATGGATTGACACAGACTCACTTTAATTTCTAAAAAGTTAGAGCAGGAAATAATCCGCTAAGTTTTTGGTATGTCAGAGGCTGGTTAACAACAGAAGTAACTCTATTTCAGTTGCCATAGATAGCTTCATGTGTTCTACAATTTAAATTTTTGATTAACCTCATACTAGGAGATGAATTTAATAAATAAAATATTTTATTTTGTTACAGATCATATAGTTAACGTTTGCTTATGGTTGGGTTATATGTCTTCGACCATAAATCCAATTATCTACACGGTCTTCAATAGAACATTCCGTGCTGCATTTCTAAGACTACTTAAATGTCACTGTAGCAGGTATTTCTAAAATATATTCTAATGTTATACCTTATTAAGGCCCGCCACATACATACGGAATTTTGTTTCGGGATTCAGTTTCGGAATTTCTAACGAGTCGGCCACACACATACGGAATACCGTTTTGCCCGCAAAATTTCGAACGGAAAAATACCGTACGTGTGTGACGGGTCATAGATTTTATACGAACTTGCTACGTTCGAAATCTCGAATCGGAATATCGAAACGGAATCCCGAAACGGAATTCCGTATGTAGGTGGCGGGCCTAAGAGTGCCTATTTTTCATTTTTCTATTACCATTACTTTGTTAACTTAAAACCGAATATTTTTTTAACAATTTGTATTTATGATATTGCTCAAGAATATTATTTTTTCAATTTTCCATTTAAGTATATTAATTCTATAGACATTCATTATCCTATCCCATAATTTAAAGATGTAAAATATTAGGTTTTAAATAATATCGAGGGTAAAAATATTGAGTTTAACATAAGCCTCCGATAAATGTACACATATTTTATAGTCTTTGTTATAAATTTTGATGCTGTTGCCAAGTCCGTTTGTCGAACCAGCTGCCAAGCGCGATAACTTTTATGAATGTCCTTCTATGAGGCAATATGCCTAGCAGTAAACTTTTTAAAGGTTGTTGATTTGATGATGAATGGTTAACGTGAGCAGTGATCACCATAGTGCGTGTTTTGTATCGTACATTTACTTATTACATACAGTACATATACTTATTCATTTGTAGTGACCAAAATAAATAAAATAAAGTAAACGGATAAATTTACCTTTGAAATACACTTTGCCGTAAACAAGGTTCGTGTGTTATCCAATGTTCAATTTGTATATTTTCAAAGAGTACAATAGAGAATTACAAATAATACTTCGAAGAATAGATGTACTTAACCTTGTAGAAGCTTTGTGGTTTATATGAAGCGTACAAACGCAACAGCTATATTTGTTGCTATTGAATTGATTCAATGTATTTTTAATGAAATTTAAACTTAATAATTATATGTATAGTAATAATAATTTAACAACAGACAAATATCTCCGTGAAATAGAAGTACTTATCTTTAAAATGTGGAATTTATCTCTAAATGTTGTGACAATGGGCGGACTCAATGCCATATGGTATTACCTTCCAGCCAAACCTGGGAACTATAGAAAATTAAAAGCTGGTTTTGTTAAAAAAAATCTGTTAAAATACTTTAACAAATAATACGTTTAATAAATAAATATAAAATTTACATATGGAAACACATAAATATAATAAATATCATATTATATAAAAAAATTAAATAAAATGCCATTTTACTGCACGACTGAAGCTGGTTTTACGATATGGCTTTGGGATTTAACGGTTTGCCTGTTAGATGTATTGTAATTCACATTTATTTTACAGGCGAGGTCATTGTACTCGTTACATGTCAGTTGGATCAACTAGAGGAGCTTCACAACTTTGTGCGAGATCTGCTCTGCCGTTAGCGATATCACTTCGACCGTCTGTTATGCCTTCGTCATCACCTGCTATGCAGGAAATTACAGAGTCTGTTCTCATTGAACCACAATTTACGGGTTATAATTTACGTTATTAGGTTTTAACTTATGATATTCTCTTTACGTCGACCTTTATGTCTAACAGTTAAATTATAAATATAGCAAGATGATTAAAAGACTAAATACTAACCAAAAAAATGATAACCTAGATGAGAATGATAACAACTTTCTTACATTATTAACTTCGTAGTTGAATGTTGTTGTAGTGGGTCTGAAATTAGAAAGTCTAAATTTCATCATGTATTCACATATTGAAATCCATAGAGCCTAATTCTATTGTATTTAAAAATGTCTTTTTGTTTGTGTATGTTCGTCCATAAGAAAGTGAACTTCATATACTTTGAGAAGAATTAATAAAGAAATAGAAATATGCTAGTCGAGGTTAGACCAAATTGCACCCACCCATATATTCTCAATTTATTTTAACCGTTTTAAATACATAAATTGTGCGTTATTTTTTGTATTTGTAGTTAGTATCTATAAGTTTACTTTAGAAGCAAAAAACTATAAGAAATAAACATATAATTCTCGCTAATATGGATGATATTTATAGATTTAAGCACTATTGTATATACCATAGAAAGTAAACATTTCATAGTTTTTAATAGTAGAACTGTAGTTTATATAATGATAAGAATCTAAGTAAATACTTTTCGGTATTTATGGCCAAAATTTAAATACTTTATTTAATAAGAAATTTGTAACGTATTTTCTTAAACCTTTACTTAACTTTTTGATATTTTGCTCAAATATCTAAATAAAATGAGAAATAATAAGTGATTTGACAAATTTAATAACAATCTCTAGAATTAGTGGAAGGATTTAAAATCCGAATTAAGTTATTTCTATTAAAAAAAATTCTTTAAAAACTACTTTCGTATACTAATGGGTGATTGAAATTTTCTAAAACGTGTGATATAAGATCTAAATTCCAGAAATCATTTTCATTTGTCCAAATGACTGCAGAATGAAGATTTCTGAAAAGTACACAGGTAACACCTCCTAAGGTAGCAATAGTTACGTAATAGAAGATTTCACACCGTGCGTTTTTTGTTTCTTTGAAAGAAAAATAGATAGACAAAGAAACTTTAACAGCTGTTATTTTTGTGCTGAGAAACTTTAGCTTTTTCTTGCTTCTGCGCAACTTGTACTGTATAAAATACACACATGACCATATAGTAATAGAAACGCGTATCTACTATGAAAAGAGATGCTGTAATATGAGGGTCCAGCGGGGAGGTGGGCAGATCAAGTATGTTGTATATAATATATATCGTCCGGATTATAATTCGGCGAATTTCTCAAGTCTTCCCCCTGCGGAAGTCTCCGAATGCTGAGTATCGATCGTCTGATGAAAACGAGCCATAAAAGGTGACTCATTATAGTTTAGTTACTTCTGTAATTGTAAAGTAGTGTAAATAAGAATTTTTTTATAGGATAGGGTGACAAACGAGCATACAGTCCACCTGATGGTAAGTGGTTACTGTGACCCATAGACATTTACATTTATCCTAAATAAAGAATCAAAATGCAGATGCGTCGTCACCCTTGAGGACTAAGATGAAATGCTTCTTTTCCAGTAAAATGGGTCTCCGGTTCTCTACACTCATCATACGAAACACAGCAGTGTCAAGCTGCCATTTTACGCTATTATTCTGTGAGAGCGTGGTCCTTCCCCAGTCGAGCCGACCCATTCGTGCTACAACTATACTACTAATATAGCTGCAGCGCGGATCTACCACATTTGTATAGATTCGTGTTTCTAGTCAAACCAAATTTAAAGTTCGAATACTTTTGCCTGTTTAACCTTGAAGACTAGTTTATACTCGTATATACATGTTTGAACGTTAGATTGATTAGCAAATGAAGCGAGTGTTCAGTCTTAGTATTAATTATCTGAAATATTTAAAAATCATCGTGGTTTTCTATAAATCTTTATATTTTAGGATGGAATACTTCTTACTGTTTATGTGCCATTTATGTATTCAACGGGATCTACTCGGACTGGTTCGGCATCCAAAAAGTTGTCAGACAGGGTTGTGTTCAGTCTTAGTGTTAATTCTATGAAATATTTAAAAATCATAGTGGTTTTCTGTAAGTCTTTATATTTTAGGGTGGAATAATTTTTACTGTTTATGTGCTATTTATGTAATCAACGGTGCCTACTCAGACTAGTTTGGCATCTAAAAAGGTGTCAGACAGGGCTATGTAGCTTTCCTGTAGCTGTTTAACCTATTTATGAACAGTTGTTTGGAGACTTTGAAAGTTGAAGAATGTGGGTTGAGAATAGGTGAGTTAACTGTCAAATTCTTTTATACGCCGATGATCAAGTCATATTTGCATCGTTCGCAGCTCAGTTGCAAAATGGTTACATTAATGTACTAGTCATTAAAAGAAAGGGGTACGAAAGTGAAAGAAATTAAGACGAAAGTGATGGTTTTTAAAAGAGAAGAAAGTAAAACATTATGTGAAATATGAATAGAAGAGGAGTTGATTAAACAAGTGTATGAGTTTGCATATTTGGGATGTGTATTTAGCAGGGGTGGTAGATTTGATAAGGATGTATAACGACGAGTGAACGCAGGAAATAGAGTGAATGGGGCTGTACACGCTATTATGAAAAGTCAAAATGTATCAAAAAAGCACGTATGGCAATTTATAATGCCTACTTTAATGTATGGTAGTGAAAGTTGAGCCTGGCAGAAGAAGCACGAGAGTAGAATAAATGCTTTAAAAATGCGATCATTAAGAGGTAGGTCCATAAAAAACGTGCAAATAAGCAATTACGTTTTTGAAAATATTAAAGAACTGACCTCATTAAATGACACCACAAAAAAATCTCAATTAGTTAATAGACGAGTCTTCACTTTCAACGCGTGTTATTTATGAAGAAAATCATGATTTTCGAGAAAAAAAAATCGTCAACAATGGTAAAAACACTTAAAACGGCCTTTTCTATTTTAAATCTGTAGGCTATTTCGATGATGATCAACATTTAAACCACTGTGATTGTTTGAATCTGTATTAACATTTGTATTTCATAAAAGATCATTTATGAAACCCACATTTTCAATATAACACAAAATAATGATAATATTTTAAATTTGGTTGTAAATAAAAAATAATAGATAAAATAATACCTAGAAAGCGCACACTCCGGCTCTACCCTTAGTTGATAGCTATTAATTACGGGCTCGTGAACTTCGCTATATGACAAGCAAATGACACAGAAGAAATTGCAAATGTCTACATACAATGCATGTTTTTTGTGACATTTATGAACTTCCTACGATGACGAACGCGTGATGAATATGTAACTTGTCCAAAACACCAAAAGTAATTTGTCTCATGATCCTGAACTCATGTCCAGAGTGCGTCTATGTGACTAGAAAATATCAATGTAAGTGTTCTATTAGCAGTTCCCACGCTAAAGGACTACAGTCTTAAGGAGTAATTTATGGCTGAATATGAATGACAGGGTGAGAAATTGTGTGATAGAGAAAAGTACGTTTTGCATGATGACGTTGTGAACAGGATTAAGAAAGAAATGCTTCGCTGGTTTGGTCATGTAGATAGACTGAACGAGGAAAGAGTGACAAAGCAAATTTTTATTGCAGAAGGGAACGGCAGAGTTGGGAAGGGACGCCCTAGACGAAGGTTTATCGACCAAATTGGCAATATATTGAAAATGAGCCAGATTAGGGGTACCCTTAACTGACGAACTTGTATGCGTAGATATATGAATGTAAAGGAGGCGAGAAAAGTGTCAGGATCGTACCAAATGGAAGTCGGTAGTCTCTGCCTACCCCTTTGGGTGACAGGCTTGAGTGTTTATGTGTTTATGTGTCAGTAGTAGCTTTATAATAATTGTAATGTTGAAATGAGACATCAAAGATATTGCTTTCGATAAACTAGTTAAATAAAACCTATTATATTACATACTTTGTTTTAGTTGAAATTATTTCCTCCTGAAATCTAGTTCGGCCTGTGTTCGGCCATTATGTTACAAGCCGTATGAATAGGTTAGATATTTTATCAGCATGATTTTTTTTGTATTTGTGGGAAATGGATAGCATTTGCAGTAGACGAATATTTATAACTGTTGTAGAAAATTGCAGGTAAAATAGGAAGTTTCATTATTTACGTACAGTGTTAGACTATGCGCATGAGATTAAAAATAGTGCAGTTTCAAACTTGTTTCTCCTATGTTTAGATACTAGTGAGAAGGAAAAATGTTAAATTAAGGTTTCTGAAAAGAAAACAGTTTTTCTATGACTATAATAAAAATAAAAACAAAAAGGTTTAATGTAAATGTTTTCTTATTACTTCGATGGATATTAATTGTATAAATTTCAAAGATGTGCAATTATTCTCTTTGTTAATATGCGATGTGTATGTATGTATGTAGAATAAAATTTATTTTTGAAATTCTGTGTTTATTTTATTGCGAGTAAAAAAATTAAATTTTATTTATTTTTATTTATTTAAATTCCTTAAATAATTATTTAACTTTTATTTTTGAAGTGAAATTTCTTCTAACGGGTGTGATTTGAAACGCAATGAAACGAAAAAGCGACACTAACAATACACAAACAACTATTTATATGATTTAGCCTGTGAGACAACGAGATAGAATCTATGTACTAATATAATAAAGCAGAAGAGATGTTTGTTTAAACACGTTATTCGCTGCAACTACCGGTACGATTTGATAAATGCGTTTTGTATATATAGCCGAATTAATGAGGAATACTACAGGCTATCTAGCATTAAGCTACAAGTCTCAGCTAGCCTTAAATATTTTGTCAAGAAAGTTGTACGAAAAAATGCTCAAGAGCTGCTTTAACCGCTGCTGTAAATAAAATACTCTACAAAAATATAGATTTTTCTTTCATTAAAAAAGTCTGCGATAACATAGGCCTATTTCTTATACATAAACCAGAATAAGGTATTTTGTGAAAAGAATATTTGAAAATTGAAAAGTGATTTTTGAGCGTTATTATTAGGCATGACATAATATTAACGAAACTCCTTATAA